AGAGAGAGAGAGAGAGAGAGAGAGAGAGAGAGAGAGAGAGAGAGAGAGAGAGAGAACGAACTCCGAGAAGGCCTGCGTGCCTGGGGTATAGACAGCAGGGGTGGGGGCGGGGGCTGGCAGTGGGGTCCGGATGTCGTTGGGCTGCACACCATCTGGCCCTGTGTCCGGGCTCAGGACTCGGGTCTTTGTCCCCAGGGCACTGGGATGCCTCTGAAGGGCATCACATTGCCGCGTGGCAGCATCCATTTGCATTTTAGGAAGATCGACCGGCAGCTGTGTGGAGCGTGGATTTATAGCCTGGCTTCGTTGCTCAAATCCCCAGAGTCATTTTCTTCTTTTTTATAGGATTTTGCTTGTTAGGGACAGAGCCAGGAGCTGACTGTTTCTTCCTAATTCACTTTGTGACCTTGGGCAAGTCCTGGCCACTCTGCAGGAAGCAGGTGACAGATCACTGGCTGCTCCTCTGGCCACATAGCTGTGGTCTCCCAAGGCCTCTGCTCATCTTCCAGAAAGTCCCGCCTGCCACCCTCCCCTGCCACTGAGATGTCCCCTTAGCATGGTCTTCATTCCATTGAGCGTGGGACATTCTTTAGGTTTTCATGCTTGTGACTTCTCCAGGAGGGTGGTACAGGTTAAGACACACACGTCTCAGCTAAGTTTCTCCCTTGGATACCCTCTCTTACCCAGTTGGTGAAAAATGCAGCTAGGTCTGCCTTATTTGGGTTTCAAGGTTGAGGACAATCATGCCCACCGATTCTTGGTTTCTATCTAACTCCCTTTCCCCCCACTGCACCCCTACTCTTCCCCACTCTTTGCCCTGCTTGGTGGGCGCCCTGGAGGAGGTCGTAGTCACCCAGTAATCAGGGGAGCTAGTCTGTCTATTTCTGTGGCCGAGGGGCACCCACTCACCCCTCCGCACACAGAGGGGGACTCCTAGGTACTGGTGGAGTAACCCCAACAGAAAAACCCCACTCAGCCCCTTCCCACTGCCAAAACAGCGCTCCCTCTAGATTCATAAAGTTTGCCCAGCTTTCGTTCTACCACCCAGGAGGGACCTTCACTGCGCTTGAAGAAAACACCTACAGGATTTTTGTTGTTGTTTCCCTGGAAAACAGATGAAGGTTTTGGCTAGAAGTCTCGGAGGATTGAGGGGTGGGGGGGGGGCAGTGAGGAGTGGGGAGAGTCAATTTAGTCGTGGCTTATTGCCCTAAGGAAAACATACTTGGGTTATGAAGTATGCCCCCTTGAAATCTCACTTGACGTTCTGTAAAGAAAGGGGAATGTTTTTAAGGAGTTGGCCGAGCCATCTAATACCTTGCCTCCAGAGTGAAGCCGTTTTGAAAGATTAACATAGAGCTGGAGACAGTCAGTCACTGTAATTGAACTTATCCTGGCCTGTTCCTCTGCCCACATTGTCTAGGCCCGGGCAGCCTCCTGAAAGCTGCCCCCGGCGTGTGCCCAGGGCTGGTGGGACCAGCACAGGAATGGGAAAGGCTGCCAGCCCCAGGGTCCAGGGATCCCTTGTGCGGACTCCGCAGGCAGCGGGCCTCAGCCTGTATCCATCCTGACTTGCCTTTTCTGAACGGGTAGGAAGGGCCAGGAGCTGTGGTTGGTGTTTCTGGGCATTTTTTTTAACGGGATTGAGGACGGTTTCCCAAAACCATGTACCTTTTACACACTTCCCCTTGCCGTCTACTTAAGAACCACACCCCCGGTAGGCTGCTCGTGGTCACCCCCACCTGCCTGGTTTCATCCCTTTAACTAGAGAAAAGTTACATGGAAGAGAAGTTTGGGGTGGCCCGGGAGCCCCTGACCTTCTCAGACACAAATGCTTCTGCTGTGCCATCTGCCAGTTAGAAGTGTCTAAACTGTGGGTCTTGGGCCCAGTCAGTGTAGACGAGGCTCCCTGCTCCAAGGCCATGTAGCAGCCTCTCCGATAGGACAGGGGTGGCAAAGGGCTCAACCCTGCTGACACATAGAAGGGTCACCCCTGGACCACCCCGTGGATTTCTTAGTGGCATTAGGACACTGCCTCTAAGTGGCACCGTGGGGACCACTTAGTTGGAGTTACCTGTTGGATTTTCATTTACCTCTATGTCCACTTGGCTGATCATATGAAACAGGCTCCGAGCTCCAACTTGGGCATCTTTGGGACATCGGCTTGTGTATCGAGCTGGCCACTGAGATGTTTACGTCTCTCGCACCCCACCATCTATGGGAATAAAACAAAGGCCCCAAGCTAAATGATTTTTAAAAAGGCGTCACTCCATGGAGAATGACTCCCCAGGATTTCATCTGGGAGTGGGGGTGGGATCAGAACTGTAAATGCTCTGAAAACACAAATGTCTTCATCTGGATGGGGGCAAAAAATCTGCTGGTGGAGAAATCCAGTCATTGCAAGGCCAAGTTCCTCCCAGGTTCCAGCAGCAGCTCACTGACCCGCCCTGGGCTGGGTGTCCATTAACTTCACTGGCAGTTTCCCCTTGGTGTCCGAGGGCAACTTCTGAACCGGATAAAGTCTGCACTAGCCACGTGACTTTTACGGGGAGGCAGTGCTGTGTCCCCTCTGAAGTCCCCAAAATAGTAAATCACCGAGGGTCGCTCGAGGAGGCATGCAAAGGGCAAAGAAAGGACAATAGCTGTAACTTTCTGGGAGCAGTCTTTTTTTTCTTCTTCTTTTTTTTTTTTTGCAGTAATTTTTTTGAAATGTAATTATGATCCAATAATACAAATATCAGCATCTGAAATTCTGCAGTCTAAGTTCCTGTCTGTTTTGTTTAACAATGGAAGCTACTCAGGCACAGTTTCTTTCCAGTTCACAGACAGGTAGCAAGGTGTTTGGAGAAGGGCTCACCAAAGGAACTGAGTAGATCTTTTAGTTGAATTGTCACCTGAGAAGTCCCCGGGATACAGGCCACTCATCTGTCTGTCAGGCTCCAGCCCTTACCCGCATTCGAAACCCAAACCAACAGAGGCCTGGAGATTCTCAGAACCAACTTGGTTTGAGAAGCACCAAGAAAGAAGCCAGGTTTGATCAAATATTTGTATTTGTACTTTGCACTTCTGTCCTGGTCTAAAAATATGAATTTTAAACTAGGGGTTTGAAGATTCTGTCTCTTTCCTTCTGAAATTAGGGCCCAGGGAAGAAGACACTCTGCCCACCCCCCAAGAGACTGAAAGGGCTGCGACGTGCCCAGCGTCTTCAATTAGTGTTCGCTCACTCTGAAAGTTCTCTTTTCTGTGTATTTGGGAACTTTTTTACTGTAAACTTTCCCAAGCCATCAAAGAGGTGGAAGGAAAAAAAATGTATTTCCTCCTTTTCTACTCCCAAATCTGAGCTCTGAAAAATCCAAAGTCTGTCCATTTTCCTGATGTGATGAGCAAAGAAAAACTAAACTCCAAGAGTATCTGAAAATACCTTCCACGACTACTGTTCTCAACCGTTTTCTGGGCACCGTCTAGGCCATTTCCTCCCAGGGCTGTCAGAAAGCACAGACCCTCTCCTGGGAGAAAGAAAAAGCTGCTTCCATGTCCTCCAAGACGTGATTAATTGCTGGTGGTTATTAATTTTTAACTTTTGATAGCTTTTATTACCCAAGCTTGTACATTCTACCTCTGAGGCCCTAAGACAGGAATTTGGCTCAAAAGGGTTTTGCAAACAACGACAAAAAAGTACAGTTTTAGGACTCATGGCTCTGACTGAGCTGGGGGCTGGGGGGGTTCGAGAAATGTCCCAGGTGTGTCTCAAACATGCTGACAAATCCAGGGGAAGGACAGAGCTGCTGACTTCACACCAAGGGCCTGCGTGGTTTTGATGACCCAGAATTCATTTCGCTGTGTATTTTACAAGCTGCTGGTCAAGGCATAAAAGCACTTGAAGCCCTAACACAATCACTAAGGTCAGAACTCAAGCCGTTTGTAAATCCACAGAATTGTATGCCTTGGGGATAAGCACATCTCTCTTTGTCTGTAGATAATGTACATGGCACAGAAGTCACCAATAGGGAAATAATACAAGTGTTGTGACTGCCCACCCCCTCCCCAAGACGGGCAATCACGGGCCGTAGGCCTAGAATCTGTTTGCCCCCCCCCCCCACGGGAAGACCAGTGACAGCATGAACAAGCCAGGTGGCAGGACCGGTACTGCTCCCCAGGGTCAGGCATTGTGTTCTTCCCGCCTTCCTAACTTTTCTCTCACTTGACATCTTTATTGAAAGCTAGCAAGGAGGCCCCCGCTGCCTGGGCTCCCAGCAAACTCGTTTTTTGGGCGCTTGCATGCATGCAGGAGCCGTTACATTTTCCGTTTTCTAGCCGGGAATGGAATGTTGATTCTGTGTGATTGTTTTATTTATTTTATACGTTTTCCTTGGAATGTCTACGTGTGGCCGCTGGCCTGGCTTGGCGGCCTCTTGATTTACGGTAGTTATAAACATTCCAAAGTAGACATGTCAGTTAAATGATACAATAACATTATACAGTTACAATTCTGTTATAAATGGGCCGACAGTTCCAGAAACTCCATTTTCTGCACTCCCTCCCCCACCCCATTCCTTCACGCTACCTACGCGGCGATGGCTGTGGCGGCCACCGGCTCAGTGGAAAGAGGGCGGAAGAGCTGAGGTTTAGGCGTAGCGTGGCCCTGCCATCCCCCAGTCCCGCCCTCTGGAAAAGATTTCTCAGACGCCTCACTGCTGGTGTCCAGAAACAACACACTCATCTGAAGAACACATCTGAACTTTCATTTCGCTGAAAATCACATTTATTCTCATAACCACCGTGATTCCAGGAGCAACGCAGGTCCACGGTGGCAGCCGGTTGAGTAACTGAGATGACCTGTCTCTCTCAGCCCTGTGCTGCCCTTCCTCCTCACCCAGCAGAAAGAGTGGTTTGTTTTTTCTAAAAGATGCTGAAAGAGGGGAGGAAGACGCACTCTCCATGGACCCAGCAATTTGGAGCCTTAACATTCAATCAGAAAACCCACCTCAGTATCTCAGAGAGAGAATCCCTCACACATCTATTCCAAGAAAACACCAGCACCACCACACAGAATGCTAGAACGGCCTCTTTTCTAACTCTTTGATGTGTATAAATCTGACAACTGATACTTGAAATAACACGTGTACCTAAAAAACTTCTATTCTCTCTCCTAGGGCAAGGGTTGGCAGATTACAGCCCAAACTAACTCTCCAAAGCATCCACTTTTCTCTCTCATCATCTCCATCCAGGTCACCACCCTCTCTCACTTGGATGATTGCAATGGGTTCCTAACTGGTTTTTCTAACACCCATCCATTCATCTATTCCTCCCAGCATTCTTTCTATCATCTCAGCATTTATCCCACCATCCCATCATCCACCCATCCATCCTCTGCAAAAGTCAGCCATGACACCAAAAGCGCTCTCACATCTAGATGCTCACCACTACCAGCTGGAAGATGGGGTCTGATATTTCATTCATGTGCATCCTTCTTACCGGCAAATGCAGTCTACAATTTCTTGTAGACACGTCAACTCTTCAGTATCTATATCAGGAATTTCGAACCCAAATTTGCCATGATAAGCTCCACTTGGCCCAAAGGTCTTAGACAAAAAAGCAAACAAACAAAACTTGTGCTGTGAATCGAGGCCTCCTTCAGTGCCATTTTTGTTGTTCTATCCAAAGATGCAAAGAGTGGGGTTCTTTTTTCATTTCTCTAGGAAGGTTGGCTGTTTGGAATGTACATCTCTGATGGGGCCTGGCCCACGAGGGGCTGCAACACGGAGGTGGTTTGGTGTTCACACCCTCTTTGGTTCACCATGGCACGAGTGGCACCTTAGCCTGTTGCCTGTGCTCCCACGCCTGGCCGTGAGCTTTCGGAGGGCAGGGACTCTATCTGCGCATCTCTAGCCCCAGCACCTCGCACGAGCTGGCTCTTAGAATGTGCTCAATAAATGTGTAGTGTGAGCATGTCCTGGACTCCCGGAGCAGTGAACGGCCTCTATGAGAGGCATTGGAGGAGCTGTTCTCCGAGCTCCTACTTAATTTCATGTCCTGCTCCCACGGAAATGGAGCCGCGGCTCCACGCAGGTTATTTCCTGTCAGAGTTTCATGTTCCCCCATGCCAGGCTGGCCTCATCTCTGTGTCCATCAATTCTCCAAGGTCATCCAAGGGGCCTCAGGAAAGTAGATGTTGCCGACGGCTCTCGTGACCCGGGGGTGGGTGTTGAGCTCCACGCCTCGCTGCCTTGCAGTCTGGTGTCTTCTGTCAGCATCAGCGGACCAGGCGGGGTCTCCAAGCAGACCCCTGACCTCTCTGAGGCCATGCCTGGCAGTCCCTGGGCAGGCACCCTTCGATATCAGGGGTATCATGGCCAGCGGCGATCGCTATTACAGGCCGGAAGTGTCTTACCCTTTACTCTTCTTCCAGCTCGCTCTGCGATTCCAGGAGAGAGCCTGTCATCTCTGAGCCTCAGTTCATTCTCCTGTCAACTGGACATCACACAGTGCCCGGGCAGTAGGTGCTTGACACACCACAGCGAGATGAATGGTGTGTGTTGACCGGAGGAGTGGGCTCTGAGGAGGACTCCCAGGGCTTTGGAGCAAGGCCCTCTGCGTGCCCAAGGTGGGTGCAGGTGTGGGGTGCTCATTTCTGTTTCCTCAAAGGTGTAGGAAATGACTCAGCCAGGCCAGGTGCCTGGGCCTCGCTGCCTCTGTGACAGCCTATCTTTGTCACCCAACAAAGGCCACTGCTTGAATGGCACCTTCCCGTGGCTTTTTGTGGCCATGGTAAAACACCTGATGGCAGCTGTGACACCCTCCCAGAGACCCGGTAATGAGCTCTGGCCCTAAATCCCGTCATGATTTAAAACATGCTTTGTTTATGCTCTTACAGAACGGACGAGACTTGCATTTGAAGTGGCCCAGTGAATTCTGGGAAAGGAAGGTGGTACAATTTCTGGGGTGGTACTGTTTATGGGGGCCCAGCCCTAGTCTATACAGTGGGTGGGGGGGTCCTTGGTGTGAGGGAGGGGCTACAGGTGACCAGCTCCTTTGCTGAGGACTTCTAGTCTCAGGGAGCAGCCCAGAGAACACTGTGGCAATCCATGCCTTCGTTTTGCATCTCTGCGCTCAGTATTCAGCATGTGCCAAACCCCATGGATCAGAGTCAGGCAGGAAGAGCGGCATTTGAGAGGATTTGGTAAAGCGACTCTTTAGAAGGTGTTCGAGGTGGTCGGGGTTTTAGGAAAAGCAATGAGGCAGGGTATTTAGGCAAGAGACTCAGAGCCTGTGCTAGCTGGCCGGAACAGAGCCAGGAGAGCAAAACCCCAGGTCTCCTGCAGGTGCTCCTCTGGCCCAATGAGCCGGAAGCCGGAGGGCACAGGGCCTGTTGACTGTCCCTGTGGA